TGCCACAGCCCCAGGCCAGTCCTGCCCTGAACACCTCCACCTGCAGATCCAACCTGCCCTGGCACAGCTCYRGMACATTCTCTGTGCCCRCCACCCCTCCCAGCTGCTTTTCCTCACTGAATTCTCCTTTGCACAGCCCCACAACATCCTCAGAAACACCGACCATGCAAACCAAACAACTCCTCCCTTCAACGACGATTCACCACCACCAAAACCCAGCAGAGGAGCACAGAGAAAGCAGAGGAGAGAGAGCCCAGGAGTGATCCATGCCTGGGGAGGGCAGAGGGAGGGCTGGGCTCTACTTACGGACGGGCTGAGTGCGGAACTCGGCGGGCAGGCTCAGCTCCCCCACGCCTTTGCCGTTGACCGCTGACAGCCGCACGGTGTAGGTGGTCTCAGGCTTCAGCCCCGTGATGGTCACCAGCCCCTCCACGTTGGCTGGAGCAGGAATAAGGGGGGAAAAAAATGGGGAAAAAAAAGCAAAGAAAGGCTCAGGATTCAAAGAGAAAAATAAATAAACTCTGTTTTCACCGCGCAGGGAGGAATGAGACAAATAAACCTCGCTCTAGATGGGATCACATCACTCCGTGACCTGAAACAAGAATTTCAGCTCCACACAGGACTGGTGGTGGAAGGCTCAGCTCTGGATTAGAACTCAGCTTTTCACAGGCCTCCCCAAATCAAAATTCTTTGGGTTTATTTGACTCCAAGATCGATTTCATGCAGYGAGCACTGCTGTAGATCACTTCAATGAGACAGGGGTTCGCTGCTCCAATAACAGAGTTTATTTTCCAAGGGGGACTAAGGGGTGACAGATGAGGGTTGAAAAGCCTCCTGTGGGAAGCAGCAAATGGAAACCTTGGTTCCAAGCCCAGGGTTTTCCACCTGGCTCAGMCAGGGCTGTGACAGAGCTCTCAGCACAGCCCAAACCTCACTTCCACTTCAAAATCCAAGGTGCCACTCACAGCAAATGTTTAAAAACCGATCTGGGGCCTCCAGCCTGAACCCTCCACCCTCCAGGGTTTTTCCCTACAGCAAAGTCGCTATTTTGGAGGTGCTGCTGGGGAAGGAACCCCGTTTTTTTGCTGTTCATACCTTCCTTGGCATCGTAGAGCCGCGAGTGCCAGTCGGGCTCGCCCAGYGCTCTCCACTCCGCTTTGTACCTGAGGATGGGCACCCCGCCCGTGGCCTCGGGCTCCTCAAACTCCACCTGGGCACTGCTCGAGTAGGGCTCCACTCTGCCGATGGAGGGCGAGGAGGGCGTGTCTGGGGACAAGGACGAGAGGTGAGACATGGGAA